GGGTGGGGTGGGGGGGGGGGGGGTGTGCTCCGTGATGAGGAAGTTCAGCTTAAAGACACGTCCCAGGGGTGTTTCTGGTTCCAAAAGGCGTTTCTGGCCCCCACCTGTCGTTTTGCTCCTCAGCATGGCTGCCTAAAAACGCTGCAGGATTTCTCAAACATGCGTGAACAAACATGAGTATAACATTATAACATGATGTCGTCGCAAGATTTACCAAGAATGCAGAAACACGTTGGAATAATGCMMRRAAAGTCTGCGTGTATGGTCGTAAATAATGATTTAATTCTGAGCGACAAACAAACAGGACTCAATCAGCAAGCTCTGTCAGCTTGTCGCTGACACGTCAGCGGACACAGCCAATAATAAACACCATGATAACATCATATGACGTGCTTATAACCAATCACAGATCGACTAATGTACTGTCCAGCCAATCACAGGGCTCTCAGCTCAAAGAGTATCTTATCAAACAAGAGAGCTCAGTCCGTTGTGGAGTCCTGATGTCTGGGCAAACAGATATGACAATGATCATAAGACATATGAGTACTGGACAGTGTCAAGGTGAAACAGATAGATAATTAGTCCATAACACATGATATAAAACTTAAAAAAAAAAGATTTTACATGATATTGCCCATTTAAGCTTTTGGACTGAGTTATAATCCACCAAGCTTAAAACTGGTCCTGCTGTTGTGCAACATGTAGAAAGTTTATAAGAACTGTTCAGAGGAAATGTTGAGGATGACTCTTGGCAATAACCACGCCAGATTTTAGTGGAATGTCTGTAAAATTGAGTTAGAGCCTTACAGCACACACACAAGCAAACACATCGTTGCTGCTTCACCTTGGGCATCAGGTGATAAGAAGCTGGTAAGAGAACGTACAATCTGACTCCAGAACCTTCCCATTAGCTCGATAATCCCACCTGTCACCTGTCAGCTCTGTTATTTGCCCGCTGCTGGCTACACATAAGAGGCCAGATGAGGTCTGATTAACTGGAGCTGCTGATAAGCTCAGCCATAATATCCTGAGCCGAGGTGGGCCGAGACGCGCCAGGGAGCTGTGTGTCTTTCTGAGACAGAGTCCGGATTGTGTGCAGGACGGAGCCTCGCTTCAAGAGGAGCCTCTGCGTCTGCGATACAGATCTGCAGAGCTGACTCAGACGATAAACATCGCCACAAATTATTAATGCTCTATTGTGCGCTCACCGCAGCGTCCTGACAACAAGAGGGCTCCTTACTGCCGCCTCCGGCGGCAGCTTGGGGAGGCAGCCGACCATGTCTACATTTAAAACATGCGCCACGCGCACACACAAACACACACACACACACCTGTCTCAAAACTCGGCTGCTTCCTCCCCCAGCATTCCTCGCCTCCATCAGCTTGTCGCTGTACTTTTGAACAAGCCTGTGCTTAACGTGCTCCACAGACCGACAGGAAGGTTCCCTCCTCCTGTGAGGGGAGTCAGTTTCACCTTGATGGTTTACAGAATAATATGTAAATAAAACATTCCTAATAATAATAATAATAATCAAAGACACAACAGATGTGCTGTCAGTTTTAAAACGGTTTTTAACGTTGGAGAACGTCTCCACAATGAACACTATAATTAGCAAGGAGTGCTACTTTTTGACCCTACTTCACAGAAAATCCTGAGAGCCAAACCTGTACTTGGTGTGTATGTGTGTGTGTATGTGTGTGTGTGTGTGTGTGTGTGTGTGTGTGTGT